CTGATTTTCGACAAGTATCTTGAATCTCTTAAAGATTTAGAATACTCTGTCCTTTCTTTTGATCATATAGATCCACAACTTTCTACTAAACTCATCGACAAACGAAACAAAATATTTGTTTCCACCAATTGTATGTTCTTCGAATGGACCACATACATCTGAATGCACCACTTCGAGAATGCAGGATGATCTCATTGACATAGTCAAAACGAAAGAATTTCTGGATTGCTTTCCCACTAAACAACCCTCACAAAGTTTTTCAGACATCTCAAGGATTGGAATACCAGTAACCATATCTTGAGTAATCAGTTGATTAAGTGATCAAAAATTCAAATGCCCAAACCTCAAATGCCACAACCCACTATCCTTGTGATCGACAATAGTTTTCAAACATTGAACTTCTGTTGAACTGATCATAGTCTTAAATGTCCTATTCTTCGACAATGGATATTTTAAGATCAAATTGTTCTTAGTGTCGAACAATTTCAAAACTCCATCTTTCATGACAACTGAGAAACCTTTTTCGACTAGTTGTCCAACACTTGGCAAGTTGCATTTCATTTCAGGTACATAGAGCACATCTTTAATCATAACTTTCCCTCCATTACTCATTTGAAAGACTATGTTTCCAGTACCTTCTGCTTGCAACGAACTATTATCAGCAAGTTTTACCTTGCTCTTCTTCGACTCGTCAAAATCTGCCAACCACTCCTTTCGACTAGTCATGTGGTTCGAGCAGCCTGAGTCGAGAAACCCGATATTGGATTCAACATGGTTATTTGCAACTGCAGCCATAACCATCATACCACCTTCAGAATCATCTGAATCTTGGCGTGCAAGGTTCGCTCCTTCGTCCTTGCATTTTGATCCCTTCTCTTTTCTGTACCAACAATTCTTGGCCAAGTGTCCCCACTTTTTGCAGTTATAACACTACATATCTTTCTTATCTTCTTTGTTCTTTCGATAGTTTCCTCCTCCCCTTTTCGAGGATTCAGAAGATCTATCTTCGACCTTATTCTTATGGGGATTTGACCAAGACTTCTTGTAACACCCCTTCTAAATAACCCGCGAATATATTAATTAAATCAGAGTAACATGGAAAACAGGGATGTCACAATTCAGGATAAATATAAAACCTCAATTTTACAGTTGTCATGCTTTACTGAAGGAATTATTATTACAAATATTTAAATCAACATCATGTTCTACACAGCGGAAATATCTCAAAACCGGAATAACTTCACTTCATAAGTATTTCCAACATAAATTAAACAATAGAAAATAAAACTCGTCATTCAAACGTTTCCCCCAGTGTTACAACCTATCAGAGCACGACACTGACACGTGGACTTAAAATAACATAGCTCTAGAGCCATCCTCACTAACCCCTGAGCTGCTAACTTTAATCTGAAATCATTAAAGTAAGGGTGAGATTTCTCATAATTAACATGCATTATAAGCTTCTCAATCAACATTATATCACAAGCATATTATTTGACCCATTTTAGCATAAACTCAGATTCAACACACAGTTCCAATCATACAAGTCATTATGCACAAATCAATAATCAACCAAAGAATTGTAACACTGGAAGACATCCTAACATGTAACAATTCCATGCAAACACAAATACAGACACAATGCATGTGGTACCAACACGTGACCAAGTCACCCATTACTGATCCATCACTCTCGGATACAGCAACCATCGATTCGTCCATCACACTCGGACATGAATCCAGCCGAAGCAATCATCGATTCATCCATAACACTCGGACACGAATCCAGCCTAACCACCCATCATCACTCGGGTATCGTTTAACGGCAATACAAGTCAAATTCCACACAATGGGAATTAACTTCACCAAAACAATGCATATGCATGCACATCACCAGCATGCAACATCAAATTAGTCTATGAAATACATCAATTTATCATAACTAAACCAAAACCAAAAGAAACATGATATCATTATTTATCATACACACATCAAACAGCATAAACATGCACTTCATCCACAAGGACCTTATACAATCAATTATCATGGATACACCATTGCATATACACCAAATATGCACATAATAACAAACCGCATAATCGGAAAGTCAACATCAAATTAACGGAATATGATCACAACATAATTCCAAATAATGCCAAAACCAATATATCACATGATCACATCTCAATCATAATGGATAGAAGGCACAACACATAAGTATCAGTTCTCATTCACCAAATCAGAACAATTCACAAACAACTCTACATCATTCTCAAAATACCAAAATCTTACAATAATCGGGAATTCGACTCTTTTTAAGATAATTTTCATAAAATAATATTTTTCTTATTTTATAAAATAGAGTATTTAATTTAAGAAATAACGTCCAAAACGTCACTCAAAACGGACTTACAGTTTAAAAGTTATGAATTTTCAAAGTTTAGTATTTTTCAAAAAGTTACAGCAAAACCCGGTTCCTACATATACAGGAACCGGTTCCTGCGAAGTTCAGAAAACACCTATTCTGGAAAATGTACTAGAACCCGGTTCCTACCTATACAGGAACCGGTTCCTATGTTGAAAAGTCAGTTTCTTCACAAATTTACACTGAGAATCCGGTTCCTCCCCCACTGGGAACCGGTTCCTGCGACCTGAAAAGTCAAAAACTGCTATTTTGACAGCACTTATTCATTCCAATCCCATCCAATTCATACCCATACAAATTCAACTCACAGAAATGTCAAAACAAGTTATAGTACATGATTCCAATGAGATTATAACACACCATAACATCATACAATTTCCTCATAACCTCAAATTGAATCAAAACATAAATTCATGGGATTGGGGTTTGAATTTCATAAATCCTAAATTGGGATTCCTAACATGCTTAATCAATTCTATTGATCCCAAAATCTATAAGGCATATTAAATAATCGAAATCACCCCTTACCTCGCGATGATCCTTCGAATTCACGGCGTTTGGCTTTTTCCTCTCTTCTCTTCTCTTCTCCAATTTCACGTACAATGAGTTTTTCCCCAAAACCTTCTTTTCCTTTTTTTTTCCTTTTTATCCTTCTTTTTCTTTTCCTTTTATTATTTGCCAAATAATAAAAATAAATTAGTAATTATTATTTTAGTAGAGCTTTTTACTTCACACACCTCTAATTCAACCTTACACCCCCCGATCTTCCTTTTTAATTCCATAATTAATTCATCCATTTAATCCAAAATATTATTAATTAAGCCTTTAATTAATTTAATAATTAAATTCCTAATTATTTAACACTTGAATAAATTTGGGGTGTCACACTTCTTGCCATGAGTCTTGTCGAACTTGCCTTTGAATTTGTTGGAACCACCATCTTTTTTCCATGATTGAGCTTGCAGTGCCTGTATCGAGTCCTGAACTCCTTTCCTTTCGACAATCCTCATCTCATGTGCCTCCAACGAACCAACCAAATATTCCACTTTAGTGGTTTCAAGATTGTTGAATTCTTGAATAGCTACGATAATGTGATCAAAGTGAGAGGTCAACGTTCTCATTACCTTCTCAACTATCATCTTATCAGTAATGGTTTCACCACAACCCTTCATGGGATGGACGAGTTTCTGAACCTTCGACACATTCTGCAACTTTTTCATCTTCTCCTATCGACAACAACTCATATTGTCGATGCAAGGTTTGTAATTTGACAACCTTGACTTTCTCACCTCCTTCGAAATACTTTACCAGAATATCCCATGCCTCCTTCACCGTTTCAGCATGAGAGATTCTGTCGAAGTTAGCAGCATTGACAGCCGTTTGAATGCAATAAGCAGCCTTGTAATCTTTCTTCTTGACTTCGTTGTGGGCTTTTTTCTGTTCGTCGGTTGCATTTGCAGCCGACACATGAACGTCGTCGGTAACCACTTCTAGGGTTTCATGGAAGCCAAACAAGGGTTACATATATTTTTTTTCACTGGATCCAATTTTTACCGTCAAGCATTGAAAGAGAATTCAGAATACCCTTATCACTAGCCATCTTCGCAGCGGTTGATTTATTTGCCCTAGAAAAACGATCTCTAACGTGAAATTCTTGAAAGCTTGATCATGAAAAATAACCGGAAGCTTTGGATACCAATTTGTTAGTGCGTGAGGCACTTTTAGTGAGGAGAGAAAGAAGAAATAATAAAGGAAATAAGGATTTGTATTATTCAAGTGTATAAATAATGATATACACTATGACTATTTATATACAACCCTAATTGTGTTTGAATTAACACAACTTAGATTATATTAAATATTAAATCTAATGAAATCTAATCTAATTTAATTTAATATTTCAACAAAAGCAATCCGACGAACATATCAATTATGTCGTATATTTATTTAATATAATCATGTACAAGTATGAATGAATCACAAAACAAATCATAAATCAAAATTTCATAAACTCTAAAAATTACAACTTCTCCATCATGATTATTATGTATCGACGGAGATATTGTGATTGATTATTGAAAGAAATTAAAGGCTTTAGGCTTTACCATCTTTGAGCTACTCTAAGTATTAGGCCTTCATCCTTCTTACCTTTCGAATTAGCTTCAGCAGAAGACCAATATGTTTTTAGGTATATAGTGAATGAAATATATGAATTTTCAGTATCAAGTAATCCAGCAGACACATCATATTCGAAAGAGTGTCTACATGTCAGTATGTGTGTTTGTATATCAACTTTTAAGGAATAAACAAGATAAAGGCACCATGACTTATGCCTAGTGAGAATAATTTATTATGTAGTAGATTAGTTAATGAAGTTTGTATACAAGATTGTCAGAATATTAAGGACTTATCATTCGGAAAACTAAATAATATACATTGTTGGCTATTCTTTCAATTCAATTTCAGAACCATTTTATTCAGAATATAGCCACAGATAACAGAATACACTTCATTTATGCCACCATTTTCTTTCCATAAGGAGATTGCACCTGCTAATGGATTCACATCACTATCCTCATGTTGCCCCTGCATAGAAAATGGTAATTCTTATCATTAGTAGCACACATATCCAACAAAGTGTAAAAAAGTATAAGCATGCTTACCATCTTTCCCTGAACTTTGCTCCATGTCAATCTGTTCTTGCCATGGCCATTTTAGATTTGAAGATGAAGAACACTGTTGTGGAACAGAAAACGAATAAGTGCTTGTACTACACTGCTTCTTACATGCAGAAGAATCAGCTGTAGAGCAAGTGTCTTGGTCAGGGCTTGAAACCTTACTATCTTTCTCATTATTTACCGAACTTTCCTGCTCCTTTCCCTTCTCTTCCGCACCTTTTTTTCTCTTTCTAATAGGAATTTCATTCTTAGGATCCGGAAGTGCTGGCACCTTCTGATCATTAGCTGAAATAGTAACACATGGACCCTTGTCCTTGAGGATAACTTTCGGAATGTCTTGATTTTCGTTGTCGACGACAACTTCATCCCTTGCTTCGGAGCCAGAAGCTTTCGATGCTGCTTGGATTTCCCACATCTTGAATATGGCTTGAGTGAGTTTTTCTCGGGCTAGATCTATATCGATTATCGGACTTGGATAGTTTTGACCTAATTCAACTCCTGATGCTCTAAGCACACTAAGCGGTGCATTCCAAGGATGATGGATCCACTCGGTTGGCATTCTTGCTAACTCAGGTAGCCATTGCCTTACATATTCTCCTTCTGGATCGAATTTAGCTCCTAAAATCTGTCCCAACAATGAGACCAAAATTAGAGAACTCGCATTTTTTAGGGTGTAATTTCATAGACTTGTTCGAGTTTATCTACTGACATGAACACTTGTGTGACTGTAAAATAAAACGGTATAGCAGATTATGATGCGATACAGGTTACTTTGATTAAATTATTGAATATGAGATTCATGCACAAGCAAACTATTGAAAACTTTTCAAGGAAGGAAAACGGGACAAACCTCGGGATCATCCAAGCGCTCGAGCTCGTGACCATCTGGTAAGCATCCTGAGATATACTGCCACCCGAGTATATCACATTCAAGGTCTGCATCCAGAAGTGTGTCCCAAAAATACTTCATTCCCCATTTCCAAGGCAGAAGCAACATTTTCACAGCGAAACTGGAAACTATTACTCTTATTCGGTTATGCATCCATCCTGTAGCCCAAAGTTCTCTCATTCCTGCATCAACTAAAGGATATCCGGTCCTACCTTGTCTCCAAGTCTTAAAGTTAGAAGGATCAGCGTTCCAAGGGAAAAAACTTAAGTGACCAAGAAGTGCTCTCTCATGAGTGAACGGAAAATTGAAACAAAGATAGCGTGAATACTCTCTAAGACCAATTGCCCTGAGGAAAAGAGTTACACTTTCATTGCCAACACTGTTGCCTTCATTTCCCCACGATATCTGCTTCACACGTGCCACTTGAAAAACTTTCCTCACGCTCAACTCTCCAAAGTGAAGATATGGGGACAAGAGTGAGGTCGAGTCTCCACCAACCTTTTGCCTATTCTTGGAGTAGTTAAGAAGTTGCTTATCCATAAATTCTGTTAAAGCTTTGTTAGCACTGCCCCAACCTGGAGACCATGCTCGTCCCAGTAACGCGTTGCTTGGTTTTTCTAATTCGTTTTCAAGACCTAGGTCCTCTACTGAACATCTTTCTACTTTTCCTGTCATCCAGAGGAAGATAATTTGATCACATTAGTGCTAGTTTCCACAATTATAAATTGTATCAGTGTTGGAAGAGTTTCACATTTGATGATATAAGGCCTAACTAAAACTGTAAGTATAAGTGGTATCAGAGACTATCCAAGATCCATTGGACTATCTGCTATCGGAACTCTAAGAACACTGCCCTCACGCCCTAGACTAGACATCTGGAGCGTGACCCGAGTGGCCCGATAGCGGGTATAAGGCAAGGTCTACCCATCACAGAACTACCAATGATACATTAGCGAAAACCTGATACAAACAATCATATTATACTTTGGAAGCAATAAAATCATCGTAATATGCATACCTTTCGCTGGAATTAATTGCCACGGAGGAATAAATGAAACAGGTTCCATTTGCTTGTGCAAGCATCTTTGCCAAAAAGGATCAAAGGTTGTAAAAGCATGTCCCTTCTCATCATATAACTCCCAAGGCTCATACAACAGATCCCCATTATAACTTTTCACCGACACGCCGAGTTCAACTAACTTTTCTTTGATGTTGTGGTCACGAACAAGTGAAACAGGATCTAATAAAACAATCGTAGCACAAAATCAGCAGAAACATTTAATATGTTACTTCCTCCGTAACGATTTATAAGCAAATTTGACTTTTTTGATACATTTGACAATGAATCTATCTAGATAGACTAGATAGATTCATTGTCAAATGTATCAAAAAAGTCAAATTTGCTTATAAATCGTTACGGAGGGAGTATACAACAAACTACCTTATAAACAACACTACTTACCATAGAGATGGTTAAACACTACTTTTGTAGCTTGAATAGCATTTATACACTCCAAAAGAGCTTTAAGAGTACTATCAGTTTTAATCAACACAAGTCTAGCTCCAAGAGATTTCAGTGACTGATCCAAATGAACAAGAGATTGCTTCAGCCACCACCTCGAAACCCGTCCCGGATAAAATTGACCATCTTCTTCAGGACACCATATAAACACAGGAAACACAGAACCATCCCTAGCAGCAGCAGCTAGTGCTGGATTGTCCTCAATTCTAAGATCCCTCCTAAACCAAACAATGGTTCTATTGCTACCCATCTTCTATCAAACCTCTAAACTGTCATTCCTTAACCAAACCTCTAAACTTAATATAATACAATAACTCTAAACTTCACCTCAAAACAAAAGTTCAAAATGGTTTTTTTTTCTTTTCTCTCTAACATAAAAATATCTCAAGAATAATAATAATTGATACCCTAAAAATGACTACAAAGATTGGATCTGAAAATTTGTCAAAAAGTAAAAAAGATATGTATATCAGCACAGAATAAGAACCTCAAATCAATACTAAAAATAGACCTAACAAACAGTTAACTTATCTTGATGTCCAACTTGCCTACCACTTTGCTATCTGGAAGGTATCCAAACCAAACCCAAAACCAACTCAGCACACATGTATGTCCTTTTCACAAATTTGAAGGCATCAAAGTATATAATAAAAGTAAACCCTCAAGCTTCAAAGTTTTGAGAACTATGATAAGAAATATGATATATGAAATGATTATATTGAGTTATTGGCAAAGAGAACCCTATGAGACAAGAAAGCACCAAAATCTTATCAAGGAAAAAGGTGGAGGTAGTGATAACATGTAGTGTATGTAGGGGTGGAGGTGAGGTGGCAGATTGTGATTAGTTTAGGATGATCACGTGGAGGAGATCCCATGGGAAAGAGAAAGGATGTATAGTGATGATAGTGGGGGACACATACATATGATCATGATGATATTTTTGTCAACAAAGACAAAAGGATAAGAAGAACATGGAACATGTCACACTACTAGGGGCTACTAGCACCATCCATGATTTCATGATTGTGGATTAAATTATTTTCACCAAATTATATTGTACCATTAAGAACAGCAGTAGTAATGGAGTAATTGAGAACTCCTATGTATAAATTTAGGTTAATTTAATGGGTTTGGTAATATTAGTTTCTACAAACAATTTAATGACCAATTATTTAATGAAATCATATTGACTGTGTCCGTAAACCAACAAAGACAGAAATTAGGAAGAAAACTTTAATATTTTCTCCATAATTCCTTGGCTAATTAGTAATAGATGGATATGTTGCTGTAAATTTTTATTAGACATGAATTTTATTATTTTACATATTTGTAAAGAAGATAATAGTTGTGTCGATTATTATTTATTTAATTTAGATCGCATAATTAATGTTTTTACTATTTTTGATTTTTTATTGATTGGGATTAGAAGTGATTATATAAAGAATAGTTTTGATTTACTTCTCTTTAGAGTTAGATATTTTTGAATGGATTTTGCCTTTAATCTCCACCTTTTTATGTATCAATCTTTTTTAATACAAATTATCTTTATTTATAAAAAAAATATGAATATTCACTTAATCATTTTATACCTATTAAAAAAATGAATAAATAAAAGAGAGAAAATAATATTTTTATTAATTTTTATGTATTGAGAATGATGAAAGTAATAATAATTAATAAAAGATATTTCTTTCATTCTAAAGTAGTATCTATCATAGTTGATCATTTTACAAAGATTAAAAATATATAATAAATGAAAAATAGAATTGTATTTTTATAAAATTATCCTTATTTATTATTAGTGTATTCAAATGATCATAAATGTAAAGTGAAAAAATAATAAATTGAGAGTATTAATTAGAGAGCATAATTAGAAGATTAAATTAAAATTGACTTGTGATCTTACCAGTTGATCAGAATTCAAAAGTGAGTCTTGATGATGATGTCTGCTTGTCTGAAAATATGAGGAAAGGAATGGGGTGTACCTGCAAGCCACTCCGACGATCAAGTAAGAATAGGTGCAAAGAGATATACGAAAGATATTAGGATTTTTGGTATAAATACTCGATACCTGACCCTCACAAGTGTGAGGATTTATATAATTCCCCAGCGCGTAGCCATTGGTTCCTATTTTTGGGCCAAGATATTTGGATATACGAAAATAGGTAATTGTCAAGGCTTGGTCAAAACGGACAGTCGTGTCCGTAACTAGCCGTTGCTTCGAGCAAGGGTGAGATGAAGGGTAGACGCGTCTCGAGCGTCTTCCTGGTTGTCTGCTCGACGAGTAGCGAACAGGCCTGGAATTGGTCGTTGATGCGGGCAGGCGCACGAACATGGCATCGTAATCCCTGATATTCCCACGGTACGGTCGATCATGTGTGCTCGACAGGAGATCAGAGTTAATGGGCCAAAGTTGTTTGGACCACACAAAAGGTAAAAAACGAATTGGGTCGATTCTAATCATTGGGCCAATCCAGAATAGGAGCCCCCAAGTCGTCGCTCCTAGGCGTAGGAGTGATGACTTAGAGTCATCCTGCAAAGAGTCGAGGATGCTCCAAGATGTGCTCGGGGCAACTGTGTCGAGGAGCCCGAATATGGTCTTTTTGTATTCGGCGCGCAGGGAGCCGAATGGTTGATTGGACTGAGGGGTAGCATGCCACGCTTGCATCGAGCCACGTGCTGTCATAAAGATGTAAAGATGGAAAGTCTAGGTATTAGGGCGTAATGATGGCGACCTTTAGGTTCCTCTAGGTGTGTGCCCACTCACGCGCTAGCAAAGTTCGTCTATAAAAGGGAGAGAGGAAACTTTATTTGCACTTACTGCTTGCTCTTTCTCTGCTCGTCTCTGGTTTCTGCACGATACCGTTGTTCTTCGCCGAAGTTCTTTCTCTTTCTGTCGTTCACCGCTGTAATCCCTTCCCGTTCTGTCGCTAGTCTTCCCTAACCTGGTAAGTTTCCTGTTTTCCTTCTGTTTCTGCCAAAATGATCCCTGTTTTAGGTTAGATTTTAGGTTGCAATTTTTAGAGATGCATCGATTAGGGGTATATTAGATATAGATTTGACGACTTTTGATTGTTCTGCCGCTTGGGAAAGTTGGCTCCGCCGCATAGCTATTTAGTAACTCCTAGTGGTAGGGTCGGTGATGGCGGTTTGTGATGAACTTTCCGGTAAAAATGGACTGTTCCCTGGGTTTCTGCTTAGAACTTCCTGAGTTTCTGATGTGTCTCTGGGAGAGGTCCAAAACCATTTTTCTGGGAAGGAATTTTATGAAGGGAAATTGTGATTCAAAATGCAATGGAAATTAAAATTTCTCTTTAGTTGATCCTTACAAATGATCATGATCAGTGATAGAACAATCACCTTTTGCGATGATCAGTTTATGCAGATCTAGAAGAATGATCACGAGCGTTAATGAAGAACAACACCTCTACTCAGTTCATACGAACAAATTTCCTTCAATCTCAGTGCTAACTGCTACGAATGAAGACTTTTGAGTGAGAGAGAAAGAGAGAAATTACGACAGGGTTTCACAAACCTAATTTCATCAAGTTAGAAAACGTATACACAAGGGTTGTATTTATAGAATCCCTTGTGTGGGCTGCAAACTAAAAAGCCCAACTTAAATGATCCATATAATAATAATAATAATAATAATAATAATTTTATTATTATAATAACTTTTATTACAATAACTATTATTATAGCAACTATTATTGTAATAAACATATTTTATTATTATTATATTTTATAACTATTATAAAATAATAATAATAATAATAATAATAATAATAATAATAATAATAATAATAATAATGACTATTATTATATTATATGATGTTCTATATTTCACTTAAGTGCATTGTACCTTACGGTGTTCCATAATTCTATCAAGTACACCGTATTTTACGATGTTCCTTATTTATTATATCTCTCATCAATCTGTTCTTATATGTGTGATCCTGTAGGTTATCGTAACATTGACAATTATATTAAATCATACATTTAATATAATAAATAGTGAGCGGTATCTAGCAAAACATTACTGCTATCTAAGTCACGAAAATGTCATGCGATCTGACAAATTTTTTTCCCGTGATAATGTTTATGTGTATATTTACCCTTTTATCCTTATATTTATAATGAACACAAGACATAGACCATATCACCCTTGTGTAGTTCAATATTGGGCCCTTATACATTTATTCTGTTATGCATGATAGGAAAATTCCATCTAGGTCACTCATGTCTATCAGCATACTTTGCGAAGTATCCATCAATTATCTTTATGGTCATCCAGTTACAGATAATGTTTGATCAGCAATAAAGTATTTAGCTTTACATCTAGGATCCATAGTGGTTTCAGGTTGAATGGTGGTATACGCCATTATCACCATGAGAATAACTTATGACACCTTACATAACATTATATGTAGTTTTCTCATAGAGGATCAATCCAGTATAAATATTACTCCTAATATTCATACCTATGTCAAGACTTGATAACTCCTTATCCATGATCCATGAGGTGTGATCATCAGTATATATTCATAATAGTCTCAATGCTTTAATATTATCCTACTTCGCAATAAAGCTCGACTACATATACCTTAAGAATATTGTTCTTGTGTTTAATGGGATCTCACGATTAAGTCACACTTAACATTTCATTAAACAAATGAACTATTCTATGGACTTTGTTATTTTGGAAAATCAAACTGTAATACGGTAGGATAATTGACTTGGTTGTTTTGCGTTTTATCGCAATTGTTGTGGATAGCAAGAGTCGCCACCGACTTTTCTTTTATCCAATAAGGAAAGGGTGAAAAGAACAAGAAAGACCTTTGAGATATTTTCTTGAGTTCGGGGCGTAGGTTATGAAAAGGGAGGGTGTTAGCACCCTTTCATCCACAATTATCTACGGGCTCTTAGTTTCTTGCTAGATCACTTTTGAAATTGCTTTGTTTGAAATGTGTTTGTGGAGGGTTTTGAAAGTATTTTTGAAAAACGCCTTCGTTTAGGAAAACTTTGTAATGATTCTCGTCTCTATATGAATGTATACAAAGTGTTGGACTTTTGAAAATATTTTATGTTTTTGAAAGTGTTTGGTGTGTTTGAAAAGATGTTTTTTTTTAAGATGGATTATGAGCAAGCAACTAAGAACGTTTTACCTACTCAAAAAGTCTTTAGTTCTTTTCCTCCTCCTTTGACATTGCTATCTTACCATTTGATTGGTAAGAAGCCTTATCTTTG